GGAGCAAACAAGTAATGCCACAGTATTTTATCACATTGTTACTTTGGTAATATTAAATCACTGAACATGTCATTCATGTTTAGTGTATTATTTTCTTTAGTAAATTACCAGTAAAGGAAAGCAGTAACATTTTTCTTTAAAGTGTAGCAGGTGGAATGTAGTTAAAGTTTGTATCATGCAGGGACAAAGAATTAAAGAGCGTAACTGTAATTCTTACATTTCATAATACGTGAGCGCTTGATTTCATGGCTTTCTTTTAATGTAGCTTTTACAAGTGATTTTCTTTAAAAATTGGAGGAGGGAACCCCCAAAGCACCATAGTCATACCTGTATGGCACATAGGGGCTGAAATGTTTAGGTTTCCTGTGGAAACCACAGCTGCTGAAAGCAGCATGTGCTTTCTTGTAGCAGTAGCTTATTCTCTGTAGGTAGACCAGCACAAGAACATGTCTGCTCGGTGTGTTTCAGCAGTAGCAGCAGCCACAGAGGATTCAGGGAGCTTGGATATCACTCCAGGACCTGCTACACTATGTTTTCACATGACAGCTCTTCCACCTGCTTGCCTCTTCTGAGGATGATCCACTGATCAACAGTGCTTCCCTACTCACTCGCTCCTGCCAACTGCCCAAAATCTGCCTCATTCCTTCCATTTATTTTCATTTTGTAAAGTTCTTGGAGATCTGCTGATGCAAAAGAGTACTGGAGAGGCAGGTGCTCTTCCCAAACACTGCCTGTGAAACAGATTGGAACAAAGGCAGAATGAACCAGAAATAGGACCAAATCTGCCTGATCAAGTGACAAGCACCAAGAACAAATGAAACCACAGATACAAGATCCATATCCTTCCATTGGGTAACTGGTAACAAACCTGTTTTTCAGGTCTGGTTAGTTGCAATGGTAGATAAGCTGAATTTCTGTGTGTCCTTCAGCTGTCCACAATGCAAATAATACATTTTGGGGGTGATTACTCATTTTCAAGTTAATTATCAGGAGAGTTCTGGAGCACACTGTTGCTTTCCTGCAGAGATGCTTTTTAATTTAGTCATCCTGGTCGGTATCTGACAGCCCTCTAGCACTAAAGGGCCTAGAGACCCTCTGTGAAGGGACGAGGTTGTGTGTCTGTCCTGAGAGGAAGGATGCAACCAGTGTTAGGTGAAAGACCCCTTTCACACAAGCTGCGTGTCTGTCCAGGCCTTCATCCCACCCTCATCTTTGCACCCTACCCTCATCTCCACGTCCCACCATGTCTCTGCATCCCACTTTTGTCTCTGCATCCCACCCTTGTCTCTGCATCCTGCCCTCGTTCTAAGCCACTGAATTTTTCTTTTTGCTGGGGGTTTCCCCAGGAGCAACTCTTAAGATCCAGAATGATCTGCTTAGTTCTCATTATTGCCATAGTATTTTATAGGAAGTTTCAAAAGTGCACTGAACTGATAGCACTGTTGTGCTGAAACAGGTAGAAAATTTCTATACTAAGGTATATAGCACTGCCTTACCTTGCACTCCCATCTCTGAAAGCCAGAGTTTTGTTAAAATACACGACTGAAAAACTGAAGTCTAGAAACAGCATAGTACATATATTTGAATGGAATCTGCTTTTTTTTTTTTTTTTTTTTTTTTTTTTTTTTTTTTTTTGGCAGCTGAATGATTTAATACATAAGTTTATTCAGCAAGTTTGGGAATAAGCTGCTGTGGCAGTAACTTAATGATGACAAGCTCTGACTGCCAGGCAGTGTTTTTTATTGCGGGTCATTGCTGTCTTCAGTGTTTGAGACAAATGTTGGATTCATTGGGGGATCTTTCAGCAGAAGGATAATATGTTGAAAAGCAGCTCTGTCAAAATTACTTTGCTGTTGAACATTTTCTAGTAATCACAGGATCTGAAGTCTGATTTATTAATTAAAACCTATCAGCACATGCTCTAAAGAAACCAGCATGGCTGAACTATGTCCTTGTTAAATGAGATTAAAGGACATGACAAAAGTTTGTATAGTATGCCTCAGCCCACACTTCCTGTAAAGGATACAGCTTGTTATTTTTCAAAATATGCTGAATATATTTTCTTTATATCTTGGTTTATTATGACTCGTGGGAGCAATCGTAAAACTGAAGCATACAAGAACTAAGCAGAAAAAAAAAAATAACTGGACTGCGCAGGAGGAGCTGGCATATCCCAACTGTATTATTCTCCTGTAAAGGAACAGAAAGGTATTTGGCCAGATTTTCTCCAAAAGGAACAAAAACTTTGATAGAATCTTTGCTTAAACTTTTGTCAAGTAATTTTTCAAATAAATTTATTGAGCTATATGACACATAAAGAGAAATAAAGTATGCCTTAATATGAACAAAGGAAGACAGAATTAAAAACCCCTATTAATTAGCAACATGTAGCTGAGAGTATCATCCTATGACACTTTTGTGGGATTGCTGTAAGTAGTGCCTACTTCCACAGCATGTGACAAACTTCTTGCAGTCTGCTCTGTTGGATTATTATAATGCACTGAGCCTGTATGTTCAAATTTGTCCTTGATAGGAAAACTATTCCCTGAGCCCCAGCAGGTAATGCTGTAGCCAGAAGTGGGCAGCTTGCTGCCAGGCTCCCTAGCCATCTCTGCTCTTCCAAGACTCCAAGCCCCAGGCACACCTCTCTCTTGTCTTTCACTTTTTTGCGGCTGTTGTGTTTTTGCACCAGTCTGTGCTTCTTCCTGGAATCTGGGGTTAGTGTGCAGCGCTGCTTCCCCACTGGCAGACTTCTAGCCTTTGAAATTCAGTTGAATGTTTCATGTGCTGTTAGCAAGATACATGGATGGTGGTGGGCTGGTGGTGTCTGAGGGAACTGAAGTGTTGATCAAAGCTGCTTTTTCCCCTCACTGATCTGTATCTCCCTAAGCCCCCAGCTTGGCCACAGAGACATCCTCCATTGTGGAACAGACTGGGTGCTGGAGGGACCTCTGCTCTGCTCTGACTCTGCTGGGAGGGGAGTGCCCTTCCTGAGTGCCATGTTCTCCCAGGGCTCCCAGGAACCCTGTCCCCACCACAACCTCACTGTGTCCACTTCCATCCCAGAATCTTCCAGTGCCTTTCCAGTTTCACAGAGCCAGCAGCAGCTCTTACCCTCTGGCAGAGGTGACAGAGGGATTAGAAAGCGCTGTACACAGAGTAGTAACATGGAGATAGCTGAATAATTTCTGAATTACTCATACAGGCAGTGACAGATAATAAAATCAGCATTGTTTGGTAGTGCAGTAGTTTACTGGGTATTACTGTGTCGCCAGGGTACTGGCTACCTCAACTTTGAGCTAGCCTATATAGTTACTGCTGGAGGGGGATTTGTGAGCAGCCCATTGCCATCCTTTGTCTGCTAGAGAGGATTTTCTGGGCTTCTCCTACACCTTTTTCTGATCCTTTTCTGCCACACCAGAAAAAAATTGCAGGGGCCTTTTTCTGAGTCCTTCCTTCTTATGCCAAGGCACTGTCTAGGTGCACTCAGTTGCCTTTGGTTTCATCTCCACTGCTGTTCCAGGTCTGTTTCCAAGCTCTTCACACAGCTTGAGTAACGTGGTACTTTGGGCTTATGGGATCACTTGCTAAGCCTCCTGATGGCAGTAAGCCCACCTCCATGTTGCACTGTGCTGAGGTGGTGCCATTGTAGCCACGATCCAGCTGCTGCTTGTTTGCTCCCCCATGGGAAGCATGGTCCTGGTTATCCTGCTCTCTGTTCCCTGTGCAGGACAGGTGTCCCATATCCAGAAAGACTCAATGCAATTGTTCACCACAGTTATGTCTGTTTTGCTTCGGCTGCCTCTGTTTCTGGTCATGTCTGCCTGTGCTATGAGGGTGTAATCAAAAATTGGTTTGAATGTTACTCCCTTGGGCACGGAATCAATGGCAGAGGCTGCTGCCATGTACCAATATCTCATCTGAGAACAGTCCATCCACATCCTTCCTCGAGCATTCTCGTGATAGTCCACCTTCAGAAACTACAGGAATATTGCAGAGCAATTGCATAACTCCTGGCATTAAATGTGAATGTGCTTGGTATGACATTTTGCCAAGAGCAGACTGGGATTTCATACAACAATTCATCACAGGTACTTACACACTCTGTTGGACATGAATGTTTAGTTAGACAATACATTTTACCTTGGAGTAACCGGCACAAAGCACTGATGTGCTAGTGCTTGTGGGAGCAGATGGCTTGCCTAGGCTCTGAATCCATAACAAATCTCTTCCCCAGAATCACAGAAAGCTGCAGAGGAACCGTCTCCTGTCAAATTTCTTCTCCTGCCTGGTGGGACCAACTCCAAACTCAGCTATTCACATTGCACTGTTTATTTCTCAAAACTTATACTCTAGAGTTTAAAACTAAGTGCTGAAAGTGGTGAGGAAAACCCAAGCAAACCACAGCATGTGTGACTAAAAGCAAGATGATAATAAGTGGTCCTTGAGACCTAGACAATCCCTTCTCTGTGAATCACCAGGGACTTGAATACAGGCCCTTTGGTGGGCAGCAAGGCAGCTGGTGTGGGCTGCATATGGGTGGCCCACCAACACCAAATCTGGGGAGAACTGTAATACCAGAACTCTTCTTGAGTTTCTGAAATTCAAGCCTGTCTCTTGCATGTTACAATATGGAAAGTATGCTGAAGGACCATTTCCAGCTCCGACAGGAATTTTCTCTGACCTTTTGACAACTACCTGTTGTATTGCCTCCCCAGCTGGAAAAATGGAGAGAATAGTTCCCTAACTCAATAGACAGCTCAGATTTAAATTTAGTAGGCACTTTTAGAAAATACTTCAGGATTCTTGGACAGGCAGCTTTGTGCAAGTACTTCTGGCTATCACTGCTGTCTCCTTAGGGATGAGAAAAGGATGTACCAAATACAATAAGAATAGCAACAGAGGACTGATACTGCTCGTTTCCAGGATGGGTGAGATGAATGCCATTTTCTTCTTATTTGCCTTCATAAATCATCTCCCTTTCTCTTTTTTTTCCTTAGGAGTTTTCATAAGGACTGTTGATTTCCACCTTATACGAAATGGGCAAAATGTCATCAGGGAGGTCCACCTATTAAAACAAACTGGTAAGAGTTTTCATGCCCTTATTTCCTGATGACAGAAAGGACTTTCGATTTTATGCATAACAAAAGTTTTGGTCCACAATGGCAAGAAAATTACTTATCTTCTATATATTTGTTTCTGTGGCATTAGGTAATTCTGTGTTCAAGAAACACTTTCCTGTACATATAAACACACCGAATCTCTAGTGGAGAACATCTAAAGAGAAATATGAACTTACCTTAATAAATAGGTACGATACATTGGCCGTTTGGCAGATCCTTGTCGAGCAGTGCAGGAACACTAGGGTGCTTGGAATTCAGTCCTATTGTCCCCAGGCTGAATTGCTTTGAAAAAGGTCACATGAGGAGGAAAGGAAGTTTTGACTTTCACATGCCTGTTATTGCTAAGGAAACCACTTCCTCGCTATTCACATATTCAGCATGTCTCCAGTTTTGGCACTCTGACAAATGACATCGTGCTACTGCATCGAGTAACAAAGAAGGGTGGAGAAGGCTGTTAGACAACTTGAAGTGTTTGAAACGCTAGTACAGCTTTTGTAGGACTGTCAAACTTCAAGTGGGCTCTGTGAGAGTAAGCAGGGTCCTTTGTTAGCTGCAGATGGGATACCTGGAGTTTAGAAATGTGGAAAAAAGGTTCTGGGCTACATGTCAGCAAGCTCAGGTAGCCTGGAGGTTTCCTGGGTTGTAGCAATGACAATATTCTTACACCTCTGTGGGTACTGGGAGACAAGTTTTCTGATACAAATATACCTGAGTTATTCTCTGTGCAGAATTTATTTCAGCTTTCAAGTACATACTTGCCTTTTCTTTGGCATTTGGATATCAGAAACTGAGTATGCTTGGTATGTGGTGATTTCATTAAAAGTACTTGGATTTGAATTTTGGGCCTGCAGGACTTTTCCCATTTTTCTGACTTCTTACTCAAGAAATTAGAAAGATTGACAAGCTACCGTTGGTCAGGACTGAGAATCTCTACCAATGTGGGGATATTTTAAAGAGGACTGAAGCAAAATTTCTTTGAGGTAACGTATGTGCAAATCTCAATCTGACAAGCAAAATGTATCATAATTAGGCTTATTTCTACTCAGAGATAAAAAAAAAAGTCTAGTATGCTTCAGGATACAAGTGGGCTTCTATGTAAATATACAATAGCTACTGACATTACTGGGACCAAGTGTGAGGCATGCACAAATCATAGGAATTAAACAGCTAAAGCTCTGCTCAATTTACTGGCAGGCTACTGAGCTTTTGATATGTCAAGATCTATTTGTCTAAACGTTATCTGCAAAGACAACATAATGTAGTGAACTGAGCCTGGGACTGCGGAGGCCAGAAATCAATATTCTAATCTTGGCCCTGCTTCAGATGCATTTGGTGGCTCCAGAGTAGTTGTTTAATCTCCCTGCATGCTTACCAGAGATAAAACAGTTCAAATATAATAAACTCCACTGAAGAGCTGTGCAGATCAGTTCACAGCTTCTGTACACTTCTTTGAAGACCTGAATTGTTATATAAATATTACTATTACATGCAGGACTTTGTCTCTAGGAAAATACATGCCCTGTATCTTAGGATTTGAAATGTCAGGTCTATTTTCTAGCAGATGCCCTTGCCCCATAGAGGCTTGATACACAGCCTGGTGGAAACCCAGAAGCCACAAGGGTATCTGCCACGATACTGTCTTTTTCCCTGCCTCCCCCCCTTTTTTTTTTTTATCCAATCTGTTAAAACAGAATTACTTAAAAAATGATTCAGCTGTTTTCTTTCAGAGAACATCCTCATTTTTATTCTGTTCATGGCAGGAGTAGACCACACCTCAAGAGAAGTTATTTGCTTAATGCAGAAATAACAAGAGAAGGACCTACATATGGCCTGTTTATTAGGAAGAAAGATTAGAAAGTAGTTGTGATTTCTTCTGGGTTCAAAAACCCTTGAAAATGTGTTGGGTTTCATGTTTCACTCATTTTCCCCAATATCATAGTTTCTGAGTAATCATCTTACTAGAGGCTTAGCTGAGCTGCACTCATTCCCAAGGATCTCAGAAGGGTTACCTGAGGTGAGACAAAAGATAAGTCACAATGACTTTCTTCAGCTTTTAAAAAACAAAACCAACAAACCAAAGAAATTAACCAACCAACACTACCACAGATAACCTTCTATAATATAGGAAAGGAGAGAAATACTGGCTGTATCTCTCTTCCATGCAGCAAATGAGTTCCACCTACAGAGGACAAGAGTACCAGCTCTTGTCCAGCCCAAAAGAGCAGCAGTTTATGAATTGTTCTTGAAACTGTTTATGAGTGGACATTTTGAAATTGCTAAGAAAAAAGCAAGTGCTAAAACAATAGGGTCTACATTTACTGGTATGTATATTTGTTTTACAGTCATTAGTCCTTGCAGAAATGAGCCCAGTATCTCTAATGGTCCAGGGTTTTGTCTCCTGTACTAGTCAGCCCTCATGATGCTGTTATAATACAGTTGTTAGCACGGGCTGTAACTGGCAGGTGGTAGCAAGGTTTTGCGTAGCATCAGAAAAAGCTGGAAATATTTGATTTGGTGGGGAGGCAGCAGGGAAAGCAGTGCATGGGGGTGATACGCTCCCAGCAGCGGGGGTTGCTAAGCACACAGCCTGCTATGCCGCTAAGCAGGCAGGACCAGGCAGAGCCATTAAGTCTGGAACCAGCTGAGTATTTAATAAGCTGCATGCTACCATGCATTTACATAGCTTAAGTTGTAGTAAAGCCCTAGGAGTAAAGGGTCAAAAGTGCAGGGCTGGAGGGCTAAAGCCCATGCACACTGCATCGTATCCTGTCCTCAGTGGAAAAAGGACTTGGGGAGGAACCATAAGAAAATGAGCCTCATTCCAACCAAGGAGAACTTTAAAGGCCAAAAGGCAAGAATGTAAAAAATGTAAATGTAAAAAATAATTGAAGTTATAGTACATGTGATGAGGTCTGGCAAAACTCAATTATACAAAGGTTGCAGGGTATCTACATGCCCCCAATAAACCAAGCGCAAGGAGTTCAGTGGAAAGGAAAATGAGACTCCCCTCCTTTGTGGTTTACGTGTCTAAAACAAAATGACTCTGTGCTTGCCCTGTGTGCTTTTAAGATTCTGTCATGTGAATCATTTGACACTTATTTATTTCCCAGTGTGTATATTTAATTATATCCCTGGGCATCATCTTCACCCTGGAACTGCCAGCGACCAGAGTTCTGCCTCACGCAGGGACTCTCTTCAGCAGGCTCTCTGGCCTCTCCCTATTCTCCCCCTTGTTAGCAAAGGCTGTTTCAATACAGAGCTACCAACTTTGGACATGCGAACCCATGTCTGATTTCACTTCCTCTAGCATAATCACAGACTTCAGTGACTGTGCTTTTTGCTTTTCATTTATACTGACGTAACTGAGATTGAAATCTGTCCCACAGCAAATATTTATCAGAGCATATCAAAGGAAAAGCAGACCAGAAGAGAAACAAAACAGTGAGTGCCATTAAACTTTGCCAAGTTAGATTTCAAAGTCAACAAAAACTACCCCAGAGACACAGAGATAAAATGTAGGACAAAGCAGAATGCTGAAAAAAAATAAATTTCCAAACACTGGTGTCCTACAGGACAGTTTTTAATTACTTGTAACTTGCAAAGATTAAGAAGCAAAACCCACACAGAACTAACAATACATGAACAAAGTCAATGATTACTGCTCTGATGGTTTTGTTAACGTCTTGGCTTTGATATGTATACCCATCATGGCCACCTGCACAGGTCAGGGACTCTTTTCTACAGAGAAAGAAACAGGACAACATCCACAACTGGCTTTCTAAATGATATAAAATAATGGTATGCCACACTTTAATTAGATAATTAAAACTGTTGCTGCTTTGCTAGATGCCAAGGACACCCAGTTTCTTGGCAACAGACCTCTAATTTTCCTTCTTTGATATCCAGGTCACAGCCATTTGGATTAGATGCTCATTTCCAGCAGCAGTGCACAGCAGGGGTACACAACTTCCCGTCCTGCTGTTGGTATCTCCCTTAAGTTCAGCATCTTGCAACTACATTTATAAAAGCTGTTGAATGTTAAAGCCCTTATAAAGGGTAATTTCTCAGTATTCACAAAGGTCAGGGGACACATAAGCATATTTAAAAATTAGGCAGTCCTGTGCAACACCAGCAACTTCTTACATCATGGCAACAAAGTCTCATCCTGTTCTAGCTAAAGAACACGACTGAAAGGGTAAAGCAAGAGAGAGAAAAACTATTCCATCCCCAGCTCTCCAGCTTCTTCAAAAATAAGGTCTACCCCATCCCTGACCATTTGCTATCACTCCCCCCTTACAAGGAAGAGAAGAGGTCTACCTGCTGTCCAGATTCGGTGAGGAAATCACATACCTTTACTGAGCAGCATTAATTTGATCAGCTAGCTGGAAGAAAAACATGTAGCCCTGAACGCTGGTACCAGTGCTTTGCCTGAGCTGATGTCATTTGAACTGAGGAGCAAACTGCAGCCTAAGGATTATCAAATGTCATCAATTCATATGCAAGGCACAGTTCCTCATTCCCAGTCCCACATGAACTGGAGAGGCATAACAGCTCATGCATGTTTTTGAAAAACAGACTTTTTCATGCGAAAGGAATATAGAGCATGCTACCGAGGGGCAGGTTAGACAGAACAAATCATACAGACCAGAGGGTAGTCACACTGCTAATGCACTGCTGGAAGGTGCCCAGCTAGTCTGGTGATAAGCAACAGAAGAACCTATAGAGGATAATGCTCTTTGTCAAGTGCCAGAAATTTATTATGTTATATTCCTGAGAACAGCTAAGGTGAATTAACCACAGTAGACATTCACTACTCCTTCTGACATCCCCGAGATCCTGTCTGTAGTGCTGCTGTGGTTGCCGGTACCTTCTCGGCTGATGTGAACCTGTTCAAAGCTAGCCAAAAGCCAACTGTCAGGGTTAGCGTAGTGCCAAGCCCTTGCCAATAAACCACCCAGCAGGCGTATTAGCTTATGCTTGATGCTACACTAACCATCACTTGGGTTTTGGTCAGCTTGGACTGTGACCAGAACAGGCTTACATCCAATAGGAAAACATAACAAATAAACAGAGCTTGACAAAGATGGTACAGCAGGTGTTACAGCAGTACTGGTTAAATGCTCCTCCCCCCAGCTACTTCAAGCAAAGGAAATGTTACTAGGTGTATGCCTTCTACAGAGAAGCTAATCTGACAAAGCTGGTATATGACAAGATACTTGTATTCTTGTGTACAGCCTGCATCCATGCCTATGTATCACCATTTAGCTCTACAAAGCATCCCTCAAGTTTGATTCTTTTTCATTTGAACAATTTCATGAAAACAATGCTGAAAAGTGAATTTTGGCTGCACTCATGGAGATCATATTTTCTATTACCTGTCCTGAATTTAATCTTCCACTATGGACAGGTGAGGTAAATATCACAAATATTTTGGACATATTTTGGAAATGAAGCTATGCCAATACTGATAACTTAATTTTTACTCAAAGGAAGTAAAATACCAATAAGCACATCAGAAATACTGATACTGTTTTATTAACATCTGATGATCACATAGTAGCCATTTTCTACATGATCTTCTGTTGAACAAAGTACACGAATACTCCAAGGTTATGTTTTGCATGTGCCATCTTCTCTTGAACCATCACTGTCCATATTCAGTCATCTGCAACATCTAAGAAACCATGGATCAAAGTAGAGAGCAGGTCAGACAGTCTTGGCAACCCTACCATTCTTTATGCGCCGACTCAGTAACACAGTTTATTGTAGTTAGGACACTAGTAGTTTAAAACCCTGATTTAAGATTTTTTTTATGGGCTATCTTGTAAAGGAACAAACCACAGAATGATGGCATGCAATTTGAACATACAAATCTGCCCAGAGAGGAAACCTAGTCACCAGTTGAAATCCATAAAATTATTACAGTTTTTAACAAAAAGAATTATATGGTTGAGTCAGAAAATAGAAAAAAACCCCAAAATCCTAACAAAGAAACTGTATCAGAAGTAATGTAAAACATCAGTTCTTTTTAAAAAAGAAAATCTCTGCAGATGTTTCAGACTTCATACAAGAAGCTTGTTAAGAGGCAGTTTTGTTTGGTTTAGTACAGCTTGTTTTCATCACTTAGAGAATTATTTTTCCAGTTAATCAGCATCTCTCTGTCTCAGATTTACACTTAAAAGGTGCCTATCACCTTTGCATTTGAGTAGTAAAGACTGCTGTTATTTTTATTGAAATCATGACCTTCGTTATTACCCCAGATACTACATCAATATCTTTCCTGTTAACTATCCACATATACTTTGAAATATTGTAGCCTACTTTGTTGTGGTCTCTGGTCTGATGTCAGTGCACAGAATTACAGCTCCTTAGACTGCATCACATTTCCCTTTTCTGAGAAAAGTTATTCTTTTTACTCCATTATTTCCCCTGACAGTTACTTCAAGCCTGTGACGATCACTGAGTCTTAACTCTTCACTGCTCTTGGGTGGTACGTCACTGACAGTTAGCAATCTGTTATCATGGGATGGCTGCTCAAAAGACTCTGGATTTTCAAAATTCGGTTTTTAATTAATAGGTATTCATCTCTCAAATCATCCTGGCAGCAGTCTATGAAAATGGGCATGGAAAGGAGTTTCTCTAATACTGAAACTCAGGCTCCCTTTAATGTAGGATTACGGCATGCTACCCACAAAACCTACTGACCATTCTCTTTCTTATCTAGAAAAGGAGGATCTCTTGACTTCACAAAGGTATTAAAAGATTACACATATATCCATGTCCACTAGAGAACTACATCTAGGTTTTGTTTTGAATGTAAATGTGGCAATGCCACTCCACAAAGAAGTACAGATCTTTCAGAAGGACAAAATCAACTGTCATTGTCCTCCAGTGAAAACTGGAGATCTTCATTCCTCCTCAGCCAACATTTCTTCATGCTTACAGTCCCTCACTTGCAGATACAAGTGCTTCATCAAGAGATTTTACATGCTTCTCCCCAGCACAAATCCCATAATGCAGCTCATCATCCTTTACAGCAGCCCAGGACATTTGCTTGGTGGAGAACCTTGCTGCCCACTCTCCTGCCTTGCTGACAACAATGGCACCCCCCAGGCCCCCAACTCTTGTCTTCATGTAGTCTAATGCAGTGTCCGCTGCCACCTCTGGTGACATTCCTGAAAAGAAAAATAAGATCACTTTCATGGCATCTGTCCTGACACTAGTTTCAAAACTCCAAGTTTTACCCCTCCCCACAGAGCCAGTCAAATCTAATTACTAAAATCTAAAAAACTAAATCAGCAAGAAATTTCCAGTGTATCAAAGGAACTGTTTATAGGAAGGCTCTGTACAGTTGCTAAGAGCTGCTGTGGTGTGGTGCTGCTGCAAATATTTATTTGAATAGCTTCAGATTTTAATTCCATTTCAGTGTTTGAGACAAACTAACTCACCAACTCTATGTTCAAGAGACAATGTTTCTTATGCCATCATTTGAAGGGAAAAATGCCAACTTGCAAGGTTTTCATCACAGCTTTGTCACAAGCTAGGTCTAAAGCATTTACAGTTTGAAAAATCCCACATCAAAACAATCAAACATTTCAGTCATCATCTCTGTTCCAAGTGCACTGGCTGCAACAGAGCTCAAAGCACATTACTTCACATTGTCATAAGTTATCAAAACCAAAAATCAGCATTACTCTTCCTAAAACTTCTGAAACTATCAGGCAAGATGAGGTCTCAATGTACTAGACATCAGACAAAGGACCAGCAAAGTAACTTTAGCTTTTCATTACTTGATTTGCATTAACAGGAATATTTTCTAAATAAATCAAATTGAATGTGAATGTCATACACACAGACCTCTAATAGCTGCAAGATACCTGTTCACTACCAGTTTAAATAAACATTCAGGAACGCAGTTGGCTTGGCCTAATTGCCCTAAGATATATTCCCTCAGTAATGTTATGTGGCTTAGGTTACAGAACAAAAACTGACCTTCATGCTTTCTTTCCCTGCAAATTTTGAGTTAAGACCAAATAAAACCATCAGAGTCAGGATTATTCACAGCACTGGTGACTGACAGGATAAAGCTCCTTTCTCTGACGTGCGGGTGACACTGTGACTATTCAAGTCAGTGGCACTGTCTTCAAAGGGTCAGTATTTCACTGTTTGATTTTTCACCAAGACAACAGCTGCCACCATAAGACAAAGATTCCAGCAGCTGCTAAGAATGGCAAAGCAATTCACTCCTAAAATATGAAAGTAAATTTTGCAGCATTCGTCCAAAAGAAGATATTTAGTAAGTGAATTACTGAATAGCTAAAGAGAATTATGAGAGCTCTGTAGTTGTTCTCGAATATGCAACTTCAGTTCAAGGACTCAAAAGTTACAATAACTTGAGGGTTTGTTTTCAGTGCCTTCATGGAAATGTTTTGGGGGGGGGCAGGGGGAGTCTATTGCTGACATATTTTCCTGGCAGCTGAGTTATACTTCTGGGCAGGATAAATGAAGGTAAAGCAAGCACTGGCAGGGTGAACAAGAGCAAATCAATTAGACATTAATACATATGGGTTCATTTTTTTCTTTTTCTCTTTTTTTCAATAAACTTTTTAATTTGATACTCATTTGCCTTTCATACTGATTAATCACAAGCCAGATAACTGCTGTCAATGCATAAGTTTTGCAATGCACTTAACTTAAAGCCAGAGAAGAAACTGCTTTACACAGTTTAGACTGAATAGAGCTTAGAAGGCTCTATTCACAAATTGAATAGTTAGGGACATAACATAGAGAGTAAGGGAGAGCATAATGTGTTAGAGCTTTGGGAAATAATCTGTACGTTGTATTTTATGCTGAAACTGTCATATCAAAGATTTAGAGAAATTCACCCATTATATGCAAACAGCTCTATAAAGCATAACAAAAATATTCTCAGCTGTTACTTGTCTCTGTACTTACTGCTTCTCCAATGAAAATGTTAATTGAACATTTTCCAATTATTTCCAGTTTGGTTGATCTCAAAGCAAGTTACACTGTACTGCCCCGAAGCTACAGCTTTCTAAAAATAATGGTGATATCTATATTAATGATTCTTGAACTGCATGCAATACAAGTATGTTGTCTGGCTATGTTTATAGGCTGTAACATAATCAAGGGTTTAGATGACAGACTAACTCAGGAAGGTAAAGCTCCAAAGGGTCATCCCACAGTCAGATTATATTACAGTCATATAAGACATACTGTGTCAGCTGTTTACCACATACCCACCCAGTCAGTTTAGTACATTTTCCAAAACAAAATGAAAATTGAAATCATGGTTAAAAAGTCTTAAAAGAATTTCTGTTGCTGTAATCAGAGTTGTTAAAATAAAGACCTTTATAGTTTATTAGAAAGGCAATATCCTATATCTTCTAATTTCAGTTCCAATTGTGTCTCTAGCATTCCCCCTTACTGCTTCCTTAAATGTATCTTACTTTTGTTTTCTATCTCCTGTTCACAAAATTTTAGTTTATAATTAGGAAAAAATATTAAAGAGAACTTCAGTTAAACAAAGTAGACAGTAATGTCTTTCAATGTACACTGATCTAAAGCATGATTAAATATCAGGCAGCAGAGATAATTCTGTCCAATTCAGCTAGTTTACCTTTATTAATACTTTAGTACTTCACTTTGTTTTTAAAGAGAGGTGACCCATCCGCATATCCCTGGGAGCAACTCTTCTGACACCTGTTCTAGCATGGTAGTAGATAAACTGAAACCTGTCATTATCAATGTTTCATATCTTCATTATTTCAGCTTACAGGAAGTTTGGGATATACCTTGCTCCATGTGATAGAGGATCAGTCGGGCTAAGACCACTTTCATAATGCTCTCCCCATGTCCTGTGGTTGAAGTGGCACCAGAATGATTATCAGCATAACCTCCACTTCCTTTTCAGAGGGAAAAAAAAAAAAGAAAAATTCTATATTATAATTCTATAATATAATTTACAAGCCCTTCATTGTTTTCACTGTTTAAAATAGGTACCGAATATTTCATCCTAAAGGTCCATTAGCTTTCTGCATTTCTGGGAGCAAAGTGTCATTAATGCTTCTTTCTCATTTCTGCCTGTTTGAAAAGTTAAATATATGAAAGAGATCAACAACTGTGGGAGCAAGTCAGCTGCCAAGTTGAGAGAGACTACTGATCTGCTTGTGGTACAAGAAGCAGAAGCAGGCCAACACTCCACAGGGATAAGCAAAACTATTTTCCAGAACAGCAAGGGAGGGTATATTAAGGACCAGCAAGATAGTGATGGGATGCAGAATGCCAGGTCACACAACATTACCAACTGAGAAGATACGAAGGAAGATCTTGTGAGGACATTGGTGAACTGACCAAAGTTTGAGGGGAACTTACCCACAACAGCTTGTAAAAGATTTGAAGAGCCTGGGCTCTAGTGAAACCTCACAAAGCACCCCTGAAGAATCTTCAAAGTCCTCATCACAAGCAGAGTGGTTTTTTTGTTGAACTCCCCTTCCCCCCCCTTTTTTTTGTCCCATCCTTGTTTTGCTGGCACATTCCACACCCTGTTGCTCTCCACCAAGCTTCTGCTTGCTCAATACCCATGTTTCTAGCACATCTCCTAAGAAAAATATTTCCCAGGAGCTAGAAAGAAACATACCACAGCATTATAAACAAGGTACTGCGGGACGGGAAAGAGCCTTAGAAGAGCAATGAAAGTTTCTTCCCTCATGTACTTTCGTGATCAGACCCTTTCAATGGACCCTGATTTACACATGGAAAAACACTGCCACAATCAGTCTGTCAAAGGCCCTTTACTAGACCTCTGATGTTTAAAAGCACAGCTTTTCTGTTTCCAAGCCTGCAGATGTCTAGTGAGACCAGAAGTTACAAGCAATATGCTCAACAGCGCCCAGTTTCACTTGTCCTTCATAGAACCATGTCCCAAACTACAGGAACCCTGAACATAACCTACACAGAAGGATATCTGCAGTCAGAAAGCTGAAGCTAGAAATGAAGCTGAAAATATAGTCAAATATATTTTGACTATATAGTCAATAGTCAAAATGCAGAGGGTACCAAAACATTAGCAACTTCATGTGCAAAATAAAGATAGTACTAGTTTCTTCATAATCATATACTGCCAATAGTAGTGCTACTTGAGTTTGGAACATGCTTTACTAAAAATAATTATTTTCCAAATCCCAGCTGTATGGTAGAACCCTAAAGCAATCAAATGACAAGTCTGTTCTATGAGAGGAAGAAGTCTGTGGAAAGGATTTTAAGTGTTTCTTTATACTTGTATAAGAGATCTCTTAAAATATTTCCTTTATTCCACAACACATCTATTAGGCTCTGAGGTAGTCTTATCAGGGCTCTCTAAGAACAGGAATTTACTCAAAGTTGCCAGTCACTTTATAATTCTCACTCACTGATAAAACAAATAGTAATTGCAATTACACCTACTTCCTTAAGTATCAAGAAAACAGCATCTTAATATACAGCAGGCTACATTTTTTGACTTAGTTGAAAGCACAGATGTAAAAAACCACAGCTTTATCAGAATCAACAGAAAGGAAACACAAGAAAAAACTGTTAACATTTATGAAAGAGCAGAAAAAAGAAATTTCCATCCACATTTTCCATACAAAAAAGTGTTGGATGACAATAATAATGACAGCACTACACCTCTACTCCCAATCCTTTCTTGCAATCTCCGTGCTGTAAGAAGCTTGAGCTTTTATACATCCAAATGTTAGATCTCCATTTCAGATGTACTAGTATTTATGTGCGTTTCACTAATGAAAAGGAGAGTGGTACAATACTTATTTTTCTTTCTTTAAATGAGATACCTCCAAAAAATGAAAGGTAAGATCCCACACCCCATACCTATGCATGGTGTGTCACCAACACGGCCAATCAGTTTATTAGAGAGTCCTCCAGTGGATGTTGCACAAGCTACATTGCCTTCACTGTCTATAGCAACAGCACCGACTGTTCCAAGGTCTCTGCCAAGAAAAACAGTTCACAAAATTAGATAGAATTAAAGCATACCTGCCAAAGCATGTTGCATTTATTTTCCAGGTAGCTTTAAAAAAAGATTACTACAAAAGAAGTACTGCTCATCATAAAGCTATTTTTGCTATGCTTCTCATTGCAAAAATAACAAGCAATATGTAACAATTCTCACTTTATATTTAACAGAGTAGAAAACACTCATTTTTTTTAATCTCCCCCCATGACTTGTTTACCTTCATAGCATGGAAACTTCGACTTGGGGAGGAAAAAACCCACAAAGCAAAAGCAGACAGGGCAGAAATACTTCTAGTCATCATAGTTCTGGAGTAGTTTTTTGGCTGACACACAAACTGACACACAACTTTCCCCTAAATGGCAACTCCAAGATGCAACAATTGGCTCCACTGTCTCAAGAGGAGGTTAACCGGAATTATTAATGACAATGTACGTAAATAAGTGAATACAGAAAAGGACAGTAATGTTATGCACGTACTGAATCATTTCCTTCCTGTTCCTCCTCTTTCCTCTTCCTTACTCCCCCTAATGTTTGAATGCTACAAAAAAAAAAAGGTTATTTATGTGCCTTTCAACTAGTACTGCTCACAATGCATCATTAATACATATTTTCATCTTTGTACTCTGTAGCTAAGCAATCTTGAGGTTTAAATCACTTGGCCAGTAGAATCCGCTGAAACTGCACATCATTTTAAAAATCTTCATGCACTGAAGAAAACAGAAGTCTCAACTATTGCTTTATTTCTTCAGCACAGAAAAGACATATACAATAGACTGCTCAAATCATACATGTGTAGTCATGTTCGAAGAAAAAAAAAGCCTGTTATACTGTAACAGTTGCAACACTGAGAAGCAAGACACTAGTGAGAAGCAACAGTTTAAATGTCCACATATTCCAGCATTTCACATAGGAACATAAACCACTATCTGGCTAGAAGCATACAAAAAAAAAAAAGGCATAATCTGCATCCTTCCACACAGGAGAAGAATTCGTAATAATCCTTCAAGGAACTAACTCAACAGGCAACTGGAACAGGAATATCTTGGGAAGTTGCCTGGACACTGGTGAGGGTTTCTCTATAGCTCCACAAAATCTCAGCTAATTAAGTCAGACAAAGTCCTTGTGTACCCTGAAACCCACAGTCACTTTCTCAGAAAACCAACTTCCTGTTCGCTCCTGCTTATGTAAAATATCATACTGTCAGTCCCTACACTTCATTCACAGCAATTCAAAGTTGACTGATGAATCACAGGCCTTACAAACTGCTCTGACATTTCTGTGGATATGGACCTCATCTCAAACTGATATGATGGTGCAGATGGGCTTCCCACCCATCCATCTGTTACAAATGATTTGCTGAAAAGAACATGAGTAAATTCAGTACTCTCTTGCACATTCATGCGGCACCCTTCAACCAACTAAAGTTAGATCCTCCTCAGATGTTAAGAAAGGTACATCCAGATGTATATTTTTCTAGGTAAGTATTTATCTTAAGAAACTGTGAGAATAAAAACACGCAGATCACACAGACAGCAGCTATCTGTTTTGGTATGAGAGCACAACTGTTGATAAATTCCAAAGTGAGTGTGTCCAACATACCTTATCTGCAGTGGAGCACATAAACAACTATACTGTATTTCTTACTGCCCCTTTAAACTTTTTTACTGCTTCAGTGTAACCTTTTCTTTGTTCATCTTCAGAACAAAGGCAAAGAAGATATAAACAGGTTTTTTGCATGGATAGTTGACTCCAAAATATTACCAAGGCAGGCAAAACTGCCTAAGTAGAAATATCATACTATAATGCAATCTCTATTGTTAGTTATTGACAGTAGCAAAAACCTCAGCAAGTACCTCTGGTATACCAGAGGATGCTATTAGGGATTTCTTCAATCAAGAATTATTCTTATATACTGCATATACTGTGATACAAAATATATTAGTTGGATTTATTCATTCCCTCTTGTCTAAATCTTTCATTATCCAATATCCATGAAGTGACATGTACTTATTCTATCCCCATTCAACTAATAAGGTATCTGTTGTTTGTCTCTTAGCCCTGCATCAGTAGTAGGGTTTTCTGTTGATTGCTGTCAGGCCCTTGTTATTTAACACCTCCTCGAGTTATTCATGCAGTGCATTCACAGAGGGGCTAGGAGCCCATTTACTACAGGCACACTCAACTCCCTTTTTGTGGGGTTCTAAGGCAACCTCCAGTGATTCTTATCAAAGGTATGCCAGAGAATCTTTGGAGTGAGAGACTGCAGATAAATCAAACCACACCTTGTTCTCAGCAAAAGGTGTGCAAGATGGAATGTCGTACATGCAACGGAATCCTAAGCTTTTAGCATAAATGAATGCAGGCTCCTAATCAGCAGAAGAGAAAGGTATCTCTCATGGAGACACCAGACTTTGCCTGGAAAGCCTATAAAATCCCATGGTTTCCAACATTGTGAGGACCAGAGCACTGGAAGTTAAGTACACATCAACCTTCAAATTCCCAGTATGATCTGGTATTATGTTGCCTCTGACTAACACTACTTCACCTTCTGTCTGTTTGCCTCAGGCAAGTTTCTGTGTAATCACTGTGGACATAACAGAGAAAAAGAACATTCCACATGTGATACAGAAGGAAATGAGCTTGCATAAAAAACGACCTGTTTTCAACTTTGTGAACTTGTGCTGATGTTTTGGGCACTGGTTTTCAGAAAAAGAACAGCGTGGCCAACACCAGAAAAAGTCTTGAGCCCTTCAGAGATACACAAGTTTTCTATTATCAGATATTCCAGAGCAAGACAATGCTGAAATTGAAGATGCCTAACACTGTTATCAGAAAAAAACTTTAAAAATTAAGCAGTTACAAAGAATGAATGGAGACAGATGCCATACCATTCCAACTGATACGTGTAGGAGACCAAGTGGCAGCAGAGGTTACACCATCCTCAAAATTCTTCATAATGAATGGCAATACCACACAGTCCTTGGACAGACCATGTATCAAAAGAAAACTTCTTTTGTGTACAAGATGAACTATGACTGAGACCTTATGGTCAAGGAGCAACATCACTTTGTTTACAAGACCATATTTACGCTTGCCTTATTAATTTCTTTTTCCTTCTAGCAATCTACTGAAAGTAACATACAGCTTGTAGTTTATAGCCTTGTTTCAAAGTCTTTAATTAACATGCCCACAGAAGAAATTTACTTCTTTTGATCTACAAATTCAGTTCTGCTTCTCTCATTACTACTATTTAAAAAAAATCAGATGAACAGCACATAGTACAGCATATATGTAATGTAATACAGCGCTGTCCTGCGGCACAATCACTGACATACAAATGGAAGCTCAAAACAATTTGGTATTTATCCCTACCTCACAGGCATAAACCCCATTTTTGACACCTCATGTTTTTCATTCCTTTTCATGTCCACCTCACTTTCCCCTTCACTTTATATGAGACTGGCTTGTTTTTCAAGTGACGTTCGTTTTGCTGTTGGGCAATACCATCCAGTAGCATCTCCCTTCATACCCACCACTGAACTTCTTGGTCATTTTTTTCATTCCTTTTCATAAACAATAGCCACAATCAGCACTCGGAAGGAGTTACTGGCCAAAATCTGATGTCATTTAACTACCTAGTCCAGTTTAAAGACAAATCTGATCATCTACTTAACTGAGATCAGCTTTCTTAAATTTTTTTCATGGACTTGTTTTGAAATGTGTACTGGAGGTTTTCTAAAATCACAGTTCCTCCATGAAAAAGAGCTATACAAAAGTACACCTGCTGTTTTTTAAAGCTGCTCTATGCTCTTCTGTAACTGGCGATTTTAAGAGGAACAACGAGTTCTGATTTTGTAAAACCTATGCTATGTTAAAGTGACAAACAATCTCCTTAAGCAGCAACAAGTTTATTAGAGTTGGTTCCAGTCATTTAAACTTGAGCAAATTCATTGAAAGCTTGATTTTCCAGTACTTTCACTGAAGACATACTGTAAAGACTGTATCAAACCATGTAACATTTGAAATACAGGCCTTCAAGGGGGTTTGTTTGTTTGGTTGGTTTTTTTGGTTTTGTATGTTTTCTTGGTTGGTTTGTTTAAGGGGTTTTGGTTGGTTTTTTTGGTTGTGGGTTGTGTTTTGGTAACCAGATGGCACAAATTAAATTACCTGAATTCAAGAAAAATTTTACCTACTTCTGAAAATCTTCAGGGTTGAAATCTGGTTCAAGGTTCTTCCTCCATCTCTCACGGGATCTCTCGGTTACTAGTTTCTCCCCTGGAATCTCAGGAATACCCATGGCCCGAGCAAACAGGTGTGCACCCTGATCAGTCAGCAGCATGTGCTTTGTCTGCAGAAGATAGACATGAGATTCATTGACAGTTCTTGTTTTGTCTTGTACTGAGCAGCTTTGTACAATCACTCTTTATTTTTAGATGTATCCACATAAAGAAAATTCCACATTTTATTTTTAAACTTTCTAGATTTCTATGTCCATATGCCCTTCCACTACAGTTGAAAAAAGTCAGCTCTCCAAAGCACATCATTAGTAGAAAACTGCATTTATCTAGTGCACACTTCCTATAACGGGAGAAGAAAAATTGGTAAATTTGTTCTTTTGCTAATTTGTATGCAACTTCTTTGTACTGTTTCCAGTCAATCACCAAATCACTACATAACTAACTGTTTAGTCCAGTTAACTAAGGGATATAGAAGGATTTTACTTAGAGGAATGGTAAATAAACTCCTGTTCCATTTAAAGGCATTACACATAGTAAAATAACCAACAAATGTAAATATCATATACTGAAGTGCTTCTTAACATCAGGAGAACAATTTTATTTTAAACATATCCTTCAACTAGCTGCTATTCTTATAGACTCAATTTCAAATTTAAGAACAGAAAACTGTTCTAATGGGCTCAACCAAAATACATTTGCCCTCTTCTAAGAACATTTGCAAGTTCTATTTGGATTCCTTTATTTACAGAGCACTTTGACCAGATTTTAATTCAACAACCTTAGTTAATTCCATGCTTCAAAATTTGTACAGCTGGGTTAATTAATATTTCAGAAAAACTTGCCAGATAAATTTGTTTAATTAATCCTTAAACTTTAGTAGTAGCTCTAAAATCTGATTTCTTTTGTTTGTTCATTTTTTTTTTTTTAAATCTATGTCAAAAAGTAAGCATCAACTTTTTGCACAACTGCACAGCTGTTAATCACTCATCAGAGCCTGGGAAGGTTTTGGAGGAGCAGTGGTCTGACTATACAGTATGGAGCAATTTCAGAGCACAGCACCTAACTTCAAGCAAGCTCTTATAACCACGCAGCATCACAGCACACAGGCACCAGCTGAGGTCCAAAAAGTAGAACCACTTGATGCTGGAGGCAGCAGGCCAGCAGAGCCTTGCAAAGCACCAAAGTGGCACATATGCAGCTCTCAGCCAGAAGCTAGGACGGCATTTCTGTGTCATGCTATATTCTGCAAGACATTTAGATCTCAAAGCTTTGCATTTTTACAATGTTGCAGACCATCAACTTCTGTTGATTTCTAAAGCAATGACAAGTAATCACTATCATGACCAACCCATAGCACTGCATTGTTTATTAAAGGATAACAAACAAACATCTCCCCAAATCAGACACTGATCTCTACTTAAGCCTATCACAGCCTCTGCACTAACCCCTTTGGACAGTTACAGAAGAGGGAAATGTGGCTACACTTCAGAAACATTCCTGATGATGTGGCCCTGAATCAAACGTTTTCTAAAATTTAAATGCCTTTTAATTAATCCTCAATTCGTGAGAGTATTGCTTTAGGGAACAAGAATAAAGGTTAAAAGGAATAGGTCCTCTGTATATGTGAAAGAATGGACATCAGGCTTACGTGCTGAGTGACATTACTGGACCTACCTATTTCTAACATAAGACCTACCTATTTCTAACAAAGCTGGTGAGTAGTGTTCTTTGACTTGAAAGCCAACTTCTTAGTGCAATGCTGCCCCCCTCTGCCACTGCCACTAACCCAATCAGAAGTACACGATCCAAAATTCAAACTAGTTTTGGTTTTTATCTGTAAGTGTGGGGTTTTTTTGATTGGTGGAGTTTTTTTTCAGGAAAGACACTGCAATTTTCTTTTGTCTTTATCTGTAGCAGGAGGATGTGTCCTCCATCACTTGATTTCTTCAGCAATTAATGGTCCTTTAAATAAGATTTTTAAAAATACAGTTTTTAAGTGTATTTTACAGTGATAAATGGAAGTTATTTCTAAAAACATTTTCCAAGTGTTCCCTCCCATACGCAGATTCAGATAACATACCTTCCTAAGCTGCACAAACAAGAAATACTTGCATAAAGAGGAGTAAGCTTCTATGATAGGCTTTTGTGGTTGTCTTCTTTTTTTCTTTTTCAGTCCTTACTGGAAGAAGTTCTCTCCAACACATCTTGTCAATCAAAAGAGATGGTAGAACAACACAAAAGCACATTTTTCTGTCTCATCTGTCCACAGTTTCATGAATATGGTTGCTAACTTAGAGCGCCTAATTTTTCTGGGAGACGTTTATAAAAAGTAATTCAAAAGGACAAAAAAAAAAAAAAAAAAAAAGGCGTTCCAGACATCTTACTAACAAGAAGAAATGCTGGCAAGTTTAGTTAATTTCATGGGAAATGGGGCAAATCTCCCAAACTTCTGCAGCTGACCTGAAATTCAGATCCTCACGGTTCTTTATTTGACAATTCTGGCAGCGCAGAGCACAGCAAAAATCCAGCCCTTTGCATTAAGAAGTCTGTGTTCTAAGCTAAATTCTCCTTTGTCCAATGTAAAGAGCTGCAAATATAGTAGGGGAACACATATGCAGTTCATGTATAGCAATAAATTAGTTCTCTAATGTTCATGAGAAGCCCATCTAATGAAGTGTTGGAGCTGGGAGGGGTTACACCCCCTATTTGAAAAAAAAAATTCATTTCAATGTATCATTCCATTTCTGTTCACTACAAACAGGAATAATTCAACAAACACGTAACTGTTTTCTCAAGAATTTGTAACATCAGTGAACATAGTAAAAGACTTGCACCTCTAGAAGCTCTGTGATTGACAGCATGGTAAATGCTGAATAGAAATTATTGTGGTGTCCTCCTTTTTTCTACTTGACAGGTTTGGACAAGTTTAAGCCCAGTGGGAAACTGACATCCCAAAGGGATAAATGTGTGCAAGAACAATCTCGAGGAGCTACTCTGGCCACCAGATGGAGCCCATACTGTTCCATAATATGATGGAAATACAATTACAAGCAGATGGGAGGGTGTTTTTGGTTGGTTGGTTTGTTTTCGGGAACTGCACGTTTCAAAATTCTTTATGGCATTGAGGCATCTCAAAAACACTGGAAAATAATTACACATGCTTAAGACCCCAGGAAAATTAGTCTTATTACCCACTGGTCACAAAGTTGAAAAAAAATTAATTATGCACAGTAAAACAAAACACACTATGAAATATACTGTGAAATAGCTTGGGTTGGTGTCCCAAAATTCCTGTCCAAGATGAACAGAAAAGCAGAATCAGTTGGTATTCCCATTTATAATACCTGATGGAGAAGGAGCAGAAACTCATCTTGAGCTATATTAAGCCATTTAGGCCATTTACATTTGAACTTTATCATCTACAGAGATTTTTTTTTTGTCTCTGGGCAAAAATGTTAAGGCTTTAGGACTACACCATTATACTTGGTCCTGTAGAGCAGAATTTATGATTTTGTTTCAAATTTAGCCTCAAAACTTTTGAACACCAGAAACAACACAATGACAAAAAGACCTTGTAAGAGACAAGATGGACAAAGGAGAGGGTTTTTTGTTTGGTGGGGTTTTTTTGACTTTTTTTTTGTTTCTTTGATTTTTAAAACAGAATTTGTAAAGTTATGTTCTCAAAATCCAACAATATTGTGTTCACTTAAATAGGATTTTGTCATGGACAAGACAAGAAAATAAATCAGTGATTCTGGAATATGAAGTGAACAATGGGCATTAAAAGAAGTTCTCCAAGAATGAAATTAAGTGAAATACAACACGTTAAAGACATCTCTCCCCCAACTCTTCATCTACATTCACAAATTTTGAAAAATTTGGTTTTGTGAAGCTGTCTACCACCTATACTTACTATTGTTCTAGCTGAATGACAAAATAAAAGCCAACTGAAGGAAAAAAACCTTATTCATTGCAAGTTTTAACATTATTGAAATGTATGTCTTCCAGAAAACAAAGTATTTATATTAAATGTTTTAGTGAAATGTTCTGATTCTAAGAACAGGACCATCCTCCAGTTTTGGACATGAAAAAACCCTATCTCCCTTGGAGGCCACTGAGGACAAATTAAATTTCAATCATCTTTATAGATCACCAAAAGAGGTTTGGTTTCCTCAAAAGTCACTTTAAAAGGTTAAAGAAACATAAAAGTCTTCTTTGTTCATAAGTGAATATGAAACCCTTTTCAGCAACGGGGCAGCTGCATGAGCAGGATGAAAAGTGTGAACTCCAAAGACAGTACAAACTCTGATCACTGCCAAGTAAAACAGATGCAAATATCACACAAATGATCTACTCCATCCTGACACACACCAGTAGCCACCATTTCTGAAAAATAAGAGAAGTCTGTTGTGGCAAATATTAGGTGGACTTCTTAGTGGAGTAATGTGGGACTGATCTTATGTAGAAGGTCAAGTAATAATCATTTTGCTGCCCTGATAAATTTGAGTCTCTTGAAAAATCAGTCACCACCCAACAGAGCTACTGTTACCCTCTACTGCTGGAAGACTACAACTTTGCACCAGAGCTACCATCTGACAGGTCACAATGGAGAAGACTATCTGGAACAATGTAAGAATGCATTACATGGCCAAATACGTAATTGGGTCATTTAATCCAGTGCCTTATCACTGCAAAGTGAACAATGTATTATCCAACTTTAATCTTGCGAGATCAAGCAGAAGACTCAGTGACAGCATAAAAGCTCTTCAAAAAACAAGGGAACAAAATAAAGAAAATAAATATCTTGAACACCACCTGTGGAACTACAGGAGACCAACATGCATATTTCAATTTCTCCTTGAGAAAGCAGAATTTATGTTTTCTTAGAATGTTATTTTTTTTTTATAAATATCTCTCAAAAACCCTTAAAATAAAAATGCTTCATGGTCATGACCATAACTTCCAAACACTTTCATCCATTTCTCCCTTCTTTCCTGCCTTAAAGCACTACACAAATATCATCATTGATGTGTATCAATATACTGGATGAAGTTCTAAGGAAAAACATGCTTTATAACCAGCATACCTTTTCCATAACAAGTCGAGCAAGTTTTACTGGGTTTGCTATGCATTTAACTGCAGATACTGCTCCAGAGTCTAAATTTTTTCCATCCATTATAATGGCATCCATTTCTACTTCACCTTTTTCATTTAGAACAGATCCACAACCTTAAGACAAAAGAAAAAAAATTAGGGAGGAAGACAAAGAGAAGAAAGTCATTAAGACCTAACCACCAGGTGATTCAATTATTAGCTCTTATCAAGCAACTTTTCTCTTTCCCAGTTTGCTGACTTACTGAAAGTATCTCAGCAGAAACACTGCTGAGTATAACCACAAAATCCAGCCATTAAGAGAAGTCTCACAGAGTACAACATCTACTTTAAAATCAAGTTTTATTTTTTGTAAGATGAAAAGCACTTCCAATCACATCCCAAATTATATACTTGGTCCAAAAGCTAAAACAACAATCACAAACAGAATTCTTTATTCCTCAGATCACTTTTGAGTGCACAAAAGTATTTTACCTTACAGTTCTTCCAAAGGAGGATACAACATAACCTAAAGAAATACTATAGCATTTGATCCTATCAACAGATTAGTGTCATACAGCACTCCAAGAAACTGCCAAAATAACGGAGCAGAATAAAAGCATCCACTCACTGCTGTAGCAAAAGCCTCAAATAAGTTCTTCATTACCAAATAAAAACAGTAAAGTAATTTAAAAAAATAAAAATTAAGGAATAAAATGTTGGGTAGTTATTTTCTTCTATAATTATCAGTGCTATTACTAATCTAGTTGAAAATTAATGAGATAAAAAAATGAGACAATGCAAATAGGGTGGGGTTTTTAAGTAATGCCAATAATTGTATCTCAGGGGAATAACACGTTTTAAGTCATCAAATGCACAAGCCTTGCTAATAAGGATGGTGAAGACTAAACCTAAAAAGAAGCAAAAAGCCAAACCAAAACATGGCAGATTTACACATTAGCTCAGGTAGAGAGACCTGAACATTGCAGATAGCTAAAGCAATTTTTTTTCTTTCTGTTAAACCAGTACTAAAGCAGGTCAGAAACCACTGTTAATAACTGACATAAGACTTCTATACCAGTGTACTTCAGACCTGAATATATGAAGTTAAATCCCCTGTAACAAGAGACAACAAAATCCTGTAATCCTCCTCCTGTAATCTCCAAAACTTCCCCTGCCACATACAGACACACTCCCCAAAAGCTATTTTTTGCCTGTCTGCGAGTGCATAAGCTATTCCAGAGTTCAGCCCTGCATCATTCACAATGTGTTAATTTCTAGACTACACTGATCTGTAAAGAGCTTACAGGTTAATTGCCTTGTGCCATCCGCTTTAACATAATTCTTCCAGCTCTTCCTTTATGCTGGTAAGGAGTTAGTACTTTTTGTTTACTTAGCTAAACCCTGCCATACTCTTTTAACTTCCTTTGACAAGGTAGGCTTTCTAGCCTATGACCTTGAAATTCCCACTAGAACTAGGAGATTCTTAAGTATCAGTGACCAGAACCACAATGCCAAGGGAAACTCTACCAGGCCCCTTCACCACTGCATTAATAGTATCGTATGTCTACTGGACATCTCTCATGGGATACAGTTTAGGATTTCCTAAAATTTCCTGAGCAGAAAACAGATGCAGACAGTTTCTTCAATCAAAGGCAGCTTCCTACAAAAGCCTCCTCTTACAGCTAGTGAAGAGAGACAGGTGCTCCCTACGAACAATTCATCCCACTTGCCATAGAATCATAGAGAGGCCTGGTTTGGAAGGGACTCTTGCCATGGGCAGGGATGTCACCCACTAGATCAGATTGCTCAGGGCCCCACCCAACCTAGCCTTGAACACTTCCAGGGATGGGGCATCCACTACTTCCACAATTCCTACATCTTAGCTGTATAGTCACCTTTTTCATTCCACTGACCACCATGAAAGTCTGTACACTACAACAAACCTAGATACTGAACTTCAGGTTATTTCAGGTAGGATGAGTAGGATGGTTACAGACTGCCTTTTCATCCATCTTTCAAAGCAATAGGTAGGGACTACCAGCCACCAAGGGCATGGTATCCATTGGCAGCAGTGCTGGAAAAAAAAAAAAGTTTGGCTCACTTGTTAAGCAAAAGGCTGGGAAAAGAACAGAGACAACAGAAGACAGAAAATCTAAGGGGACATAAATAATGAACCTATAAGATTAGTCAAATCACACGTGGGGTACTGAGAGGAGTACTCCAGTTACCTCTGTCTACAGACAGATCTGTCCTGTGCCCTGCAAAGGCTGCGGAAGAGTGTGCAGGGACCACTACAGTGTCAATTCATGTATCTGCAGTATTCACACCAAGCTGATGAACACTGCTAGCCAAAGCAATCACATGAGGTAAATATAACCAAGGCCACTTCCTCATCACAAGCAGAACTGGATGGCTTCATTATGCTGCACAAGTCACTAAAATGGTAGTTTTAGACAACAGTATAGCTTCTGAGCCCTTCTACCAAGCCAACATCGAGATGAACCTACACAGAATGGCTACACCCTGTAATTCAAAAAAGGACACAACCTGATCGTTATGCCCATTCTTCCCCATGTTTATCGTTGTCTCTTAGCAATGTCTGTGTTTTCCTAGAAAATATTACAGCAAACCAGATTTTTTCTTTTATAAAGATAAATACCACACAGTGAGTTTTAAACAGGCACTCCAATCAGCATCCTCTTCACATAGCTTTCACCTCATTTTTGCCAGCTACTGTGAACAGTTGTATCTAAGGAGCATTAAGACAATTAGATATCTGTGATTACCAGACTATTTGCCACACTTAGATCAGCACAGCCAAACCTGAACAAGTGCTTAAGGCTCAAGTCCAGTTAAGTAAAAAGTAAATGAGAGAATGCCACCCTGATACTATGTAATAGTACACACCACACGTCTAAGTTTGCTTCATGATTTCAGCTTGGACGCTCTAAAAATCAAAATGTTCAGCCCAAGTCAGTAACAAAACACTGAAAGTTTCATATGAAATAAAAGCTCTCCCTTGCTCTCAATTGCAAGGTAAGCAGGAAAAAATGAACCTCTGCAAACTAACTGAGCATATAACTAATAGTTATGTTATCTAAAGCACTGATCACTGACAGGTCTTTCCTTCCATGTTTATTCCTGACATAGGTTGGTGAGAATGTGGTTTTTTTTTTGCTGAAACTTATCAAAATCATAAATGAGTCAAATCAAGAGGAGAAAATATTTGACAACTTCCATTAACATTAATTTACATTACTCATTAGAAAATCCAGTTATGAACTCTTTCTGCATAGATTCACGACTCATATACCATTACTGCATTACTTCTGTAACGTTATTTACAAAATAACTAATTGTAAGCATTAATGAAGAGGAAAACACCTAAAATCCCCAAGAACAGCATTCCTCTGATAAAGGACAAGTGTTAAGGCTTAAACAAATGCTGCAAGCTATATCCAAGTGCCTTGAAAATGAATGTTAATTAAACATATACTCCATAATAGAGTCCATGTCTTAAAACTGAATATAAATGACACAGTAATGAACAGCTCCACATGACTGAAATGGGAGAAGAAGAATGTTAACAGAGTAACTCAATTTCCTCAGTGTACTCATGAGAAACTGCCACACACTCCATGCTGTTTTATCCTGAGAAATCAACTGTTTTGTGACACTAGTATTTACTCCACTGCAACGTGCATAATTCAGTAATAACGCAAGCCAGGATTTTCAGAAGCATCAGGGCAAAACACTTGAAATACAAGACGATTTTAAGCCCACTTAATTCTTGAAAAATTACCTGCATTAAAATGAGGATCATCTTCCATTGACTGTACTGCCTCCTCAACTGCATCTACGGCGCTGCCTCCCCGTTTCAGAACACCATAACCTTGAAGCGCAGCTCTGACAGTGCCAGCACGACATCCCTCTTCTCGCTCTTTGAAGATCCGTCCAGCTCCACCATGCACCACGATGACAGGCTTCATTCTGCCAAGTTCCTCCCAAGGCTTTTAGCAGAGCACACCTGTTAGTTGTTTGGAAAGAGTAGTCTGTAGCGCGTGCTCCTTTCTACATGGAGAGAAGACTGCAGGTTAGTTAACAGATACAGGCAGTTTGATTGCAACCATTTTACCTTTCGGGAAGTGAAGTACTCACGAGGGAGCTCCTAATTCAGGTCTGGCCAAGGCCCCAGGCAACTTGGTACAACTTTTAAGGCCAGCCCTGCTTTGAGCAAGGGACTGGGCCAGGTGGCACAGGAAGGGCCCTTTTCAGCCCAAGTTATGCTACAATCTTGTGATTTAGTATGAACCCTGTCTGGTGATAATACATTACAGACAAACAAGCATTTGAGGTCCTGCTAGCTGCTCTTTATTTTAGATGGGTAGCTCCACTGTCTGAGTAGAGTAATATATAACCGGCAACAAAAAAAAAAAAAAAAGGCAGCTGACCCGACCTGAGTTAACAGCTTACCCAGCTCAACCACCTGGATCCCAGACCTCTGACCTCTTGCAAAACTTTGAACTTCGTGCAGGAAAACAAGGCGTTCACACCTGGCAGGCAACAGCTTGTTGTTGCTGCTCACGGCCTCCTGAGAGCGAAAAGAGATTGTTGCTACGAATCTCCGATGATGCAAATCACATTTTTTGATTCTAGAAAGCAGCAAAGAAGCAGCAGCAGCCTCATCTCCCACTGAAATCTAGGGCATCTCTCAGTGAAAATTCCCCACGTGGAAAGTTTCTCGGGGACAACTATTTCTGGAGACTGTGAAGAACAAACTCTTAACTCCCTCTCCCTCATCCTGCAGGCAAACCTTTCCGACAGAGACTCCCGCAGCCCAGTTCCTCTCTCTCCTGCTGCCCCAGGGCGGGGGGCCGCCGGACGGGATGGCAGCAGGCATGGAGCCCAGCAAACCCCATCCTGGAACGCCGTGGGGCAAAACATCCCCTAAGCGAGGCCGTGCAGGCTTCTATTTCAACCAGTAGCTAAACTCTTCCCATGCTCTTCACGGGCTCCCCTCGGCCCCGCACCCAGCCGGGGCCCGCCGTACCGCCGGCCCGCTGCCAGCCCCCCGCCCCGCGAAGAGCGGGAGCGCGGCTCCGGACCCCACCTGCAGCCCTGGGCGCCGGCCCGGGCGGGCGCAGCCGCAGAGCCCCGCGCCCCGCAGCCGCCCTTAACGGACATGGCCCCCCGCGCGCGCTGAGGCATGCCCGCAGTTAAGATGGCGGCTGCTGCCACCCGTTCCCGGGCGGTACCGCCCAGCACCCTGCAGGGGCCGGCCCGCTCCCCCCGGCCCTGGACTACCAGCAGTGGGTGCTGCCGCATCGTGCACCCCGCGGCGTGCTTCTCCCCTCGCCGCGCTGTGCGAGGCCATAGTTGCAGTGTCGCATCAGCTCATCGCCTACCACCGCCCGATTTCTCCTCCAGTTAAATTAGGAAAATGGCACACCCCCCACTCCCCGAAAATCGATGCCTAGCAGCATTTCCCGTGTGCCCACTCTTCCCCTTCCCTCTGTCCAAGCCAGATTATTCCCGTTCCCAAAGCTCGGGCTGCCGGTGCAGTTGCGTAAGCGAAAAAGGGTCTCTGGTCTGTGGGGAGCATCGTGTATCCCAGCCTGTGTCAGGTTGGCACAGGCCAGGTGTGGATAAGGTGTATGGGGCCCCACTGATGCAAAACTGACAGCAAAGACAAGGAATAAGCCTGATGTTTATTTTAGTTTTAATTATAGGCTGCTGGTGGAAAAAATAGAGTTTGTTAAAAAACCCCACAATTCAGAATTTCCTTACCTTTGTAATTAGAAGTGTAAACAAATAATTCTCAAAATTATACAAACTGTACCCAGCAAGCATTTGGACGCCTTCTCTGACCATTCCTGCTTAGTTCACCACCGCTCTGCTTCGTTGTCTCTGTTGTGTTGCTGTAGTCCAGGCTGCAGGGAGACCAGTGGATGCAGCCTGCTGTGGCCATGCAGGGAGTCACTGATGTGGCGATGCAAAAGTCACTCAATTCAAGATCTATTTTGATCCTGAAGGTTGGTTGGTTGAAAATTAATTAGTGTGGTTTAATTAAAAGGAACTACTCCTGATGGTTTTTCATTGTCACTGATAGGATTAACAAAGAGGAATTTAAATTTCTTATGTGAATTATTTAAGAGTGTTCCCTGTTTTTATAGAATATTTATCTTGCTTTCAGGTAGTGTCAAAACAGGAAATGAATGCTAGTTAGATTAAACAGTTTAGAGGAATTATTTCGGTTGTTTGCATGGACAGCTGAACACTAAATTTACATAGTAACTTTAAGTTGAAATTTTAATATTAGTCTAATGTTACGATTCAACAAAACAAGTATGTCACTTGATAGAACTAGAACAATTTGTTTCTACATCAGCTTTTTACCTGAAGCCCTCCTTGGCCACTGTCTTTCCATTGTTGTCAGATCATTTATGTGCTTTTTAAAATGCTATAAAGCTTCTCAGAGCAGATGGGAAAGTATTACTTTTAGTTTTATAACTATTATTTATTTTTTTTTTAAAATCACCACGTTGAATTGCACATCGGGAACCTGTCCTAAGGCTATGTAAATTGTTAGAATAAGTTTTAAGTAATTACTGTAAAAATCTATTGGTTTTGTTCTTGCTAATTTTCATGACACCTTTGCAAAATACAACTGCTAGATAAATAAATTTTAAAATATACAGAATAAATTAGGGTTTTGCATGTGTAGCCTTGTGAAGATTAGCTTTCCTGCTTGTCAGCTGATTGTGCCTTCCTTGAAAGAGTTGGGAATGTGTTACCACAGGTGAGTAAGGGCTAGAGGGCTAAAGCAGGGAAGTAAGAGATCTGGACACCTGTGTGAGGAACATGTGTGTGAAAATACTCTGATACTGCAGATACTGCTCTGCATTTCCAGTGACTAAAATACAGCTGTATTTGTGCCTTCTATTTTCCTGTGGAACCCGTAAATTGAGGACATGCCCTCCTACTTCTAGAGAAAGAATTCCCTTAGAATCTCACTGAAAATTTAATTTTAAGAACCAGCAAAGAAAGTAAAATATATTCTAAAAGTAACTGTTTTAACACATATTCATTAATAGATCTATTTTTTAAATAAATGTTTATGTAGCAACTTGTCTGTTTATCCATAACTATTTTAAAACCTTCATAGTATGATGTAGAACAGAAAGCAGTGCTCTGTATATTATTAATTGGATTGTAGGAGCCTGCAGATTTGATCAAGGCTAAGGCTGCTTAAGCAAGTGCCATAAGCATGCAGAAAGGGAATGCTAATTCACAGAGTCTGCAAACATGGATCTTTTTGTATTAGGCAGAACTGTCTTGTGGAGATCACTGCAGCATTAGGATGCCCTGCAAAAACTTACACATGTTTGATAACTTCATTAATGTGCACAATTTGATTAAGTCTGTAAACTACTTCTTACCATATTTTTAGTGCAAAGTGTGTGCCACCATTTAGGGGAGCTGGAAAAAACAGTTCTTCTGAGAGTCAGTTTAATTTTTTCATGCAAAGTGCAGTATTTCTTAAACTTATGTTCAGGTAAGATCAGCAGTGAAATGTGCAGTATTAGGACAGTAAATGGTAGATGAGTTATTCACTAAAATACAATTGTGGTCAACTCTAATTGATTAATGAGTTGGATGTTGAGTAGTTTAGCTGAAATATTTTCCTGGGAGGAGGGACTAGACTCACCAGTGTCCATGATGTTTTCTCTCCTTCTGCCTGAAAGTGAGATTAAATTGGAGATGGGTTCCTTTTACTGCTTTGGGGAGATTTTAACCCCAGAACTCAGATGTCCTTAATAGGGGAGATTGTCCAAAATGAGAAGTTAAAAGCATCTTACTGCTCCCAGTATTTGAGTATTTCATATGCAGTGGGATGGTCCTAACAGAGAAACGGAAGTGGGCAACTCTCTTAGAAACCTGCGTACTGAGGAAGGAGGCAGAGCAGCATAGGATGCAGCACTAGTCATGGGAAATCCCAATTCAGGTCCTAGGAGTGGGTTTGACCAGTTTTCAAAGCTAAAGTTTAAAAATGGTCCTAGTGGTTCCTGTGTCTCTGTCCTGTGTATTTACTGAGAATTTCTTAGTATTTATCAGCCTCGTGCTCTGCTGAAGGTGCATTCAAGGTGAGCGTCCTAGGTAGGAGGCAATCAGACTGAAACATGGATGACTGGCGGAGACTAAAATTAGAACTTTTTGTTTCCATATTCTTCCTGTTGTTATAACAGCCCTGAAAACATGTTGCATTTTTGTCACTGCACAGCTGAAAAAACATGTTCATCTATCACCTCTGTGCTTTTGAAGTCCCTCCCACAGCCTGTGAAGTCTAAAATCCCAGCCTGCTCCATTCTAATCACTTTAACTTCAAAGGCGGCAGATCAAGTTCAATTTTTTGAGATTATTTTCAATTCTCTGTTTATCCCAAGCTTTACATCCCCTCTGTAAAACTCTTTCAGACATTCCTGTTTTGGCTGATCTGCATAGGCAGATCATAGGCAGCACGCTGGAAAACTTGTCTGTATGTCTGACAGAAGCTTACAGTTTCCCAGCAAGTGCAGGGGGCTTCTGGATCGATCCATTCAGAGAAAAGGGCACCTTCAGGCCCGCAAGAGTTTTAATTGCTTTGGCTCAACCCCACACTCCTATCCAAAAAAACTTGCAAACTCCAGAGGTTGCACAATTACAGGCAATTAAACCTGTGGAATCTAGGAAGTATTTCCCTTACGTGCCTCTCAAATATATTTTGTCTTATGTTTTGATTACATTAGGAAAAATGCAGTTCTCTTAGTTCTTAATGATATAAAATTAACGTGCTAAAGGCTATAATTAAAACAAAGGTTTTTATCTTAGCCCATGTTTTAGGCAAAACCATCATTACTTTTTAAGATACATTAGAAAATGTTTGCTTAAATATTACTTGAGATAAGGCCTCAAGCTTCCAAACACTCCAGCAATTTCCAGGCAAAATTATAATACACCTTAGTAGTAATTAAGTCACACTTCTAAGAATTTTGTCATGTGTGCAGGCTTACTGAGGCCAATAGATGTATCTGCAGTAAAGGTTTTAAGTGGCCTTGTAAATATATAAAACACCTATGGGAGAAAATTTCGCACAAAATAGTTTAAAGTAATTCATAGAAGATTTCCCTATGTCCTCATTGGAGCAGGATGAAAAACAACAAAATGACAAATGAAAATCTGTCAAAGTTTCTTACTCTGCAATTTCTTGTCACTCAAATGTATGGAGCTTTAATGAACCTAAACGCAGTATATCACAGAAGGCAGGAAATAAAAGAACATCAGCATGGCAGATACATACCAAGTGTATGTATGATACTTGAGATGCTCTTCATACTTGAGAGATGAAATAGGAATAAAATGCAACTAAGTTGGGGCACAGTCATGGAATTAAAATAATTACTTTTGAGTAACATTTTAAAGACAACCAAGTTGCCAGGCATTGAAGAGAATTACAGGGCTCTTGTATCAGATGGAATATTCCCTCTTGTGGTTTAAAATGGGGTTCAAATCATAAAAACTTAGTAAATGCAGCTCCAGGGTGTCATAATCATTATTTGCAGACAACCCTGTGGAGGTGTTTACTTTTGCAGAAAGGTGGGCAGGGAAAAATTAAGCTTTGGAATTTTGCTGGGTGTGTGTTCTATTGGAGGTACGCTTATACATAGCAGTTGCCCTGTTACCAGGAGGATTATAAGGACCATGCGTGGCCATTAGAAAGAAAAATAAAGGCATGATACTTTTGCTTAGTTCATATGTTTGGTGTATTTATTAGAATTATGTTTGTTTTAGTGAAGTAAAAAGCTAAGATGTAGCAGTAGAACCATGAAAATTTAAGTGACAACATAAGTTTAATGCAAATGGTTTATGTAGCCAATAAAAGTATTTCATAATGTAGTGATTAACTTTAAGAAATGTTTAGAAAAAATGCATGCAATTTACATAAAACAAGATTCAAAAGACATGTTTAGAAAAGTTACTCTCCAGAGTTCTTCCTCAATTTCTTTCTTAAGAAAATTGCATTGTTTTCCATAGATCTTATCTGCTGCCAGATTGTTTTTGAGCAAACATCTGTTTTTGTTTTTTAATAAGGAATTGGATTTATTTCCCTTCATTTCCACCTAAGTATAAACTAATACAATATCTGTA